TTATCTAACACACATACTCAGTCTACATTTCAATTTGCACATGATATACCTGTACATACAACTGTCTATTGTTATATACCTGTACATACAATTGTCGATTTGTATATTTTTATTCCTTATTTACTTGTTCTATTTTTTTATTTTTTATTATCTGTGTTTTTTGTTCTGTCACTGTCATTCTGTTACACTGTGGAAGCTTCTGTCACGAAAACAAATTCCTCGTATGTGTAAACATACCTGGCAATAAAACTCATTCTGATTCTTCTTCTCTTTAGCCCAGAGGGCACGGCGTCCGTGATTTCCAACAAGAATGTCACATTTGGACTCGTCTAACCATAGAACACTTTTCCACTTTGAAACAGTCCATTTTAAATGAGCCTTGGCCCACAGGACACGATGGCGCTTCTGGACCATGTTCACATATGGCTTCCTTTTTGCATGATAGAGCTTTAGTTGGCATCTGCAGATGGCAGGGCGGATTGTGTTTACCGACAGTGGTTTCTGGAAGTATTCCTGGGCCCATTTAGTAATGTCAATGACAGAATCATGCCGATGAGTGATGCAGTGAGTGATCGTCTGAGGGCCCGAAGACCACGGGCATCCAATAAAGGTCTTTGGCCTTGCCCCTTACGCACAGAGATTTCTCCAGTTTCTCTGAATCTTTTGATGATGTTATGCACTGTAGATAATAAGATTTGCAAAGCCTTTGTAATTTGACATTGAGGAACATTGTTTTTAAAGTATTCTACAATATTTTTACGCACTCCTTCACAGATTGGAGAGCCTCTGCCCATCTTTACTTCTGACAGACTCTGCTTCTCTAAGCAGAGTCTATCATGTTACAGACCTGATGTCAATTAACTTAATTAGTTGCTAGATGTTCTCCCAGCTGAATCTTTTCAAAATGTCTTGCTTTTTCAGCCCTTTGTTGCCCCCGTGCCAACTTTTTTGAGACCTGTAGCAGGCATCAAATTTGAAATGAGCTCATTTAGTGGATAAAAGTGTAAAATTTTTCAGTTTAAACATTGTTCTCTATGTTCTATTGTGAATAAAATATTGGCTCATATGATTTTAAAGTCTTTTAGTTTTCATTTTATTCAAATTTAAAAAACGTCCCAACATTTCCGGAATTTGGGTTGTATTATCAGAGCATGTGAGCAGAGCAGAGCGTCACGAGAGATTAGCGTCATTTTACCAGCATTGCCATGTTACAACACAGTAGTGCTATTGCAGACAGGAATAAATATACTACAAAGAAATATCCTGTCGACACGTTATTTGAGCGGACTTTGCACGTCACCGCGCAGTGACGAGGAGAGTGAAACCTGCGCGCTGAACACTGCTGGGCAGTGCGGCGTGCCATATATATATATATATATTTTTTTTCGGCTCGTTATTTCGGCCGTTTTTCTCTTTCCGGCGGCCGAAAATTCCGTGCATTCCTACTGTTGCTGCCTCAAAAGCTGGAGACTCAGGACTTGATGTCCTTTATTGCTTCTTTTCTCATGGGCCAGAGGCTCAGAATGTTGGTGATATGTTAGTATCTCACTGGATGTGCTGGAGACTGTATCTGTTGACTGTATCTGTTACAGTCTCTCCCTTACAGGACTCAGACTCAGAACAAGAAGTGTCTTTTGGAAGGGTATCTTTATCCCTTGCCGATGAGGAGATTGCAATTTCCGTGCTGTGATTGGCTGTTTCCATCAGAGTGGGAAAGTCTGGAGATCCTAAGGAATTTTTATGGGGGTCACAGACCAGAACATTAGGAAACAGTCTCTAGGTGGGTGAAGGGCAGTAACTGCATTTTGACCAATGAAAAGTCTTGTCCTTCCTGGGCTTGGTACCAGAGGTCTTCTTGCCCTCTAAGAGGTGTCTGGCTGTTGTCCTAGCATCTTTGTCTGATGGCGTTTGACAGTTTGCGTATGTTAGTCCACTAAGATCCAATCAAAATGTAGCAAACCTTCATCCTCTATTGTGGTCAAAGAGGGGCCCCGCCATAAACTTGGCCCTGGAATATGCTGTCCACTACACCCCCCCATGATTGGCTTGATCAAGCCATTGATCTGGGCGATGCACTAAAAGGAACAGCAGGAACAAAACACACACACCTCACCTCCTCCTTCAAACCATTGGCATTAAAAATACAATTTGGCCCAATATGTTCTATATAGAGCTAAATTAACTAAATCTAAGGTGTCATTAGAATAATCTCTAAACCGGTTAGAAACAGTCTGGAGAAGGTACCTAAATTTGTAAAGAAAAGTTGTTCTAAAGAAAACTTAAAGGCTATGTTTAAGATATCTAAAGAGAATATCAAGGTAAGAGTAAGCATTAAAACAGTTTGAGCAGATTTGCTCAAATGTCTGTAGGATTTCTGTCTTCAAACCAAACCATTTAAACTGTGGAGTCAAACATGAAACAACCGCATTCCACCGGAAAAACTAAAGATTCTCCTCCCCAGCCATCTGCAGTCGTAAAACTAATACAGGGTCAGTTCAGTGTCTCGTCAGTTCCTGTCCCATTTGGCTTATCTTCTCAAGAG